TGGATCCTTTCAACTGATCCTTGTGAGAGAGTCTATCAGCAGTGAAATCCCCCCCCCCCGTTCTATCTGGCTCGCTGAACTGGTAGCGCCAGTGGTAGGAGGCTCCACCCACCCGCCGGGACGTCATTACGTCCCATTTTTCAACCATCTGCGCAGAAGAGGCGCTCCCATGTGGGAGCACACCCAAACCGGTAGCGAAGGTTAGTAGATTTCATCGCTGGAGTCTATATAGTGGATCTCCTCACCACCAATACCTAAAATAACAGAATTGCTGTGATCCCAGCTGGGTTTGTGAGCCAGTATGTACAATCATTTCATTGCAGCAGATGGAATCTCCAATAGGCAGATGGAATCTCCAAAATTTTTACATTTTCGCAGCCAGAGCGGTGTAGTAGTGAAAGAGTTTGACTAGCAATAGGGAAACCCAACTTCTAATCCACCTTCAGCCATGAAAATCCCCTCAGGAGCTTTCTTATTTTCTCTCAGCCCATCCTACCTGACATAAAACGAAGGAAAATCCTATAAGTTGCCTTGAACTCTGCAAAGAAAGGCATGATATAAATCAATCACATAAACAATTAAAAACAGGGGTGACATAGCAAGTCTTCCGATATTTGAGGGGCTGCCACAAAGGAGGGTCAGCCTATTTTCCAAAGCACCTGAGGGCAGGACAAGAAATGGATGTAATGATGCCTGCTCTTATCTCAAAAGACTATCCATTCTGCCCGTGGAAACTTCTTATTGAAACTACAAGGTTATGTTGGTTTTATGTCAACTGAGCTATTTGTGTGGTTCCCCTTTAAGCCTGGGAACTATAGACTAGGGAGAATATCAAACATCTTCTTAAAAATACACCATAATTATAGTGATTTCCTAAAGGCAGGCATGGCACTTTACGGACACATAGACCTACTCTCTCCCTCCCCCCTCCCCGCAACTTTTCCATCAATATATTTTAAGCTAATGTCTTTAACAAAGGCTTTTCCTATTACATGCTCATCTGCTGAAGATGCAGCTGGCCATCTGTCTTGGGACTTTCCATATGCAAACTTTAGTTCAGACCTTTTAGTTCTGCAAACAAGCTGTTGCAAAAATGTAGAGGAGGAGGAGAGGAGGAGGAGGAGAAAAGAAGCAGAAGCAGAAGAAGCAGAAGCAGAAGAAGCAGAAGCAGAAGCAGAAGAAGCAGAAGCAAGAAAAGAAAAGAAGAAGAAGACAAAGAAAGAAGAAGAAGAAGAAGAAGAAGAAGAAGAAGAAGGAAGAAGAAGAAGAAGAAGAAGAAGAAGAAGAAGAAGAAGAAGAAGACTTTCCAGCTTATCCATCTCTATTAATATCAAAACTGGGAAATTTGCAAGACCAGCAGAAGTAACCCTTCCTTCCCTTGGATGTCACATCTTTTTCACTGCTGGCTACAGTAGCTCTCAATAGAAGAGAATATTTGTCGTTCAGGGTTGAGTTGTGGGGTCCTTGGTGCCCTCTGAGCTTGGTTGTTTTCTTGCAGACGTTTCATTACCCAATTAGGGGCCATCATTAGTGCATTGATGACGTTACCTAGTTGGGTAATGAAACGTTTGCAAGAAAACAACCAAGCTCAGAGAACATCAAAGACACCACATGGTAGCTCTCAAGATTAAGATTTACCACATTGGGAAAAATTAAAACAAGAGTCGATTGCAAAAGCTCTGATTTCAGAGCTTGATGGATTGGAAGTTCAAAGCCATAATCCAGAGAACAATGCAACTGGGTCTTCATGTGAAGAATAGGATCCTGTTGGTTTACTGCCATGTTGCTATACTAACCACACTTGGGATTGCAAAAGCAGTTTGTGATGTGGCTTGCTGTTCGTGGAATTATTTCTGGGCAGAGTGCAAAATCCTGGATGCACCTCGAGTTTGTGGCTAGTCCATCGAGTAACATAATCACAATCTTGGTGCATTAAAACATAACAGATAGGCAGATTTTTCCCTCCAGAATACTTTTTTTTTTTCAAAACCACATTCCATTATTAGACACGACACATTTCAAATGCGCGTAAATTTACACAAATTGCATTTTATAGAAAATATGATACAATGAAATATAAAATGCACAAGGAGCATTTTCAAAGTCTCTAGACAAAGGAGCTTGCATTCTAATACGATCTCTTTAACAACCTTTTGAAATATTTATTTGCACTCATTCCTTCCCCCACCTCAGTGCCAAACGAGAATCTTTTTTTAAAAATTTTTAATATTGACAAAAAAGTGTGTGTCGGGGGAACATGGTCAGCCCCATTTCCCCCCCATGGATCATCAGAACAATTCCTCCAAAATTGTGCCCCCTCTTGGATTTGAAGGAAATAATAGCAAATCCAACCTCTGTGGCTTCCTCTTCCATCTGCTGTGGGCCTTTTTGTCCATTATCCATTAGGTAATCCAAGATTTGATAGCACAATTAAGTGGCTCAATCTCCATTAAATGTGGTTTTTACATTACACATCCATGCAATCTAAATAATTGTACAAACATTAGACATAAACCACGTTAAATCCAAATCATTAAAGGGGAGGAAAAAAAAACACATTTTTGAGAGAGAGAGGAAAAACTGCAGAATTGTTATTATTTTTGTTTTTGTTCTGTTTTGTAAATACAGATCCTACATACAAATTAGGTAGCATGCTACCCTTGATAATAGTGAGGTTCTATCAGAATGCAGCAAATAAGTCTGGCTTAATTGTCACACATTTAAGCACATTAATCACAAAGTCGCCAGTGATATACCTGCCTTTTCTTATCCCATAATAGCCTTTGATCACAGATAGAAATACCACTCATCAGGAAGTGCCATCATTAATTGGTAGGTTTGGCTCATAATATTCAAGATATACCCATGGGATAGTTAATGAATCTCTAGCCATTTTTTTTAGAAAAAAAGAAACCGGTTTTTTTTTTAAAATAAAGATGTTGGGCCTATAATGTTTATAGAGAGAGAAAACTTGTACGTGTTCTAAAAAATAGAGTTAACTATTACAGTATAACTAATAGTGACTTCTCAAGGTTTCATCACTATTTGGGTTCTACGTGAAATGTCGTTTAATGTGATCATTTGTGGGCGAGGCACAATTTATGGCAAACATGCTTCTGTCTCGCCTTTTTTTTAGTCCAGAAAATAAAAACCCTCTTCCAAAAATGGAACATTTCTTTCTACAGAAGAAAATGAGCGTGGGGGAATTATCCAAGTCGATGGTTCTTAAAATATGAACTCGGTACTTCTAACTAAGCTCAATTCTTTGCTGGAGGAAAATAAACCTTTTCTCGATTTGCATCCAGTAAGGTGGTATGAGACTGACTGTACAACTCCAAAAGCTTGTACAAAAAACTTTCCCAACATTTTCCTTAGGAAACCTTTACCTGACAAAACCAAAGCTTACACCTACAATTAGCTACACACAAAATAGGTGAACGATCACTGAACTAGGCCTCAAAATCTACCTGAGGTTGCATATCAAACATTTCTGAGGAACCAAGAGGCCATCTTTTTTTCTGAATTATAGTCAATTATCTCATACTTTTATTTATTTTCTAACTCCTTTCCTGGCTCTGGGCAAGGCAATCTATGAAGAGATGCAACGTTATTATTTGTCTTAGGCCTACTTCGCTGATTGGTTTTTGATGCAATGGTTTCTAGAAAGTGATTTCTCCTGTTGCTTTTATATCAGAAATCATCTGTTCAGATCTGATAGATCTGATGTTTGCCATAGTCTGGAAATGCTACTTTAGCTGTGCTGCATTCAGGAACAACATTCATTGCATGAGAAAAGTCTATTGGATGTAATTTTATTATATATGCAAAAAATAATTAATATTGAACAGGGATCGAGCTGACTTTCCAAGTAAGTTAATCAATTGTTTGAAATGGTCATGATTTGATAAGTAGCAATGGGCAATCCAAAAAGTGAAGATTCCTGCAGAATATCATGATATTCACAACTTAAATCAAACAAATATAAACATCAACATTTCTAAAGTGAATCCTGACTTATATACCTCACTTTGGGAAGTAGGGACAATTTGAAACATGTATAAAATAATTTTTTTTTTGTTTTACAATGAAGTAACCCATTAAGAATGGTCAGATGAACCTAGCTATTCAATTAGTCTTTATATGCTATTGATTTGCATGTGCTTTTCAGTTGAAATCATTTGTTTTTCCTTCCTAGCATCAGAAAAATTTACTCTGATAAATGTTTTCTGCTGTGTAATAGCAAGGAAATTCACATATTGACTCAGGCTAGAGGCCTGTCTAGTCTGATTTATTGTAAAAAAAAAAAAATCTAAAGAAGAAAAAGAATCCTTCCAGGATAAATATTATAAACACCAGTAAGAAAATGTTCTTTGTTAAGGTTTTTCCCCCCTATGGATGCAATGGCATTCAAAGTATTTTAAAGACTATTGGTACCACAAGCTAGTCCTTAGCATTGTTTTATTCCCCCACCCCCCATTCATTTAATAATTATTCAAAATAAGGCAGCTCATATTTTTGGCTGAATTCTCTGGCTTTCAACCATCCATTAATATAATAAGGAGTTAGATTTTTGTTTGTTTGTTTGTGCTTAGCCTTGCTCATTTTCTGTGGTGCAATAGGAAGGTGATTTTTGTGGCCCAAAAAAAAGAAAACAAGTCTACAAAACCGATGCTCTGTGTTAACACAATCTAGGAGGAAAAATACCCACACTATAACATTCAGAGAGCCGTAGGTGGCCAAAATAAACTGTGCTGCCTTCCTCTGCATTTTAATCTCCAGTGACCAAGCTGGTTAAGCTGAAATCACGTCTCCAGATGCTTACAGTTCTGTACATCAAATAATTCCACCAGATTCCCACATCCTATTCATCGCAACAAACATCGATTAGAAATACATAACTCCACCATGGACTCAGCAGAAGGAACAAGTTTTTTTTTTTTTCTCAAAGAAAGAATGGAAAGGAAATTGAAAAGAAGGACAAAAGTTACACACAAGCGACCTTTGGTCTTCGGATCATTTACTGTAGGGTTTAGGTAAGAGCGTCACCTTGTATTCTGCCAAGGTTTTCCAATGCTATAATTCTATGCAGCTACAGCAACATGTGGCCAAGTCACAAGAGAAAACCCAGTTCAATATTTTGCATCAGATAAACAATGAATGATATATACAACAGGTTGACTGAGTTCGGCCATTTTTGAGGCCAAGAAGATCTCCGTTTTAAATTTGGTTTCCTCTCTTGCACACTTAACATCACGTTTCTTTTGTTGTCCCCCACCCACAAACAATTCAGGGTTTTTTTGTTTTTTTTTAAGAATAAAACCCCAAAAGATAAACCATACATTGTTCTGGGTGTTTTTGTTTTGTTAATTCCTTAATTCCTTTCCCAGCTAGAACTGGTTTAGGGTTACAGAGTGTGGTGTCCAAGACACGGTGGAAACGTAAAACGTTTGTTTCTTTCTGAACACTCCTGAGATTGAGGGAATCTGATACATGTACCAAAAGGCACTTTCAAATATATATATACCTATATATATATTTTAAAAACAGTGCTTCTGTTCTAAGAAATTCAAGTTAAGACAGAGTGCCTTTCACTCCCTTTAGTCATAAAGTGGTTAAAACAAGCAAGCTCCCTGCTGACATATGAGGGTGGGGGGAAACAATTAAAATAATAATTAAAAAAAGGCAGCAGAGACACGTGTTCATGCTAGACAGCTCAACGTTCTTAAAAAAAAAAAGAGAAGAAGAAAAAGAAGAGAGTAAGGGGGAAAGAAAGAAACTACAGCAAAAGTAACGCTCTAAGTCACCACTAAAAAGAATACAGTCGGCCGAAGGTATTAATTAAAAAAAGCTGCCTCTTTGAACAGGTCTTGATTCCTCTTCTGCTTTCTCTCTCTCTTTTTTTTGTTTTTTTTGTTTTTTTTGTTTAATTTGTTTTTGTTTTTGTTTTGTTTTACTCCTTCTTCTTCTTTCATCCACCTTGGGTTGCTTTCTCTCTCTCTCTCTCTCTCCATCAGCTTCTTTCTAAATGCTATAGCTTTCCTCTTTTTGCAAAACAAGAAAAGTGAGGTCATTTTAATCATCCTCGCCACCCCCGTACATGTCCGCCAGTTTCTTGAACCTCGGTCCCCAGTCATTAAGGTAGTCGTAATCTTGGTCTCCAGAGCTTGAGGAGTTAAGGGAGCTTACCGATCCTGCTGTTGAGCCGCTTCCTTCATAGTCAAAGACGAGAAGGGAGTCGTAGGGAGGGGCTGTCGGGTCATTATCGGCTGCTCTCAGGCCCTGGAACGTTTAAGAAGATGTTGCTGTAAAAAAGTTATCATGGATTGAGGCAAGAACATCCTAACTTTGGTTGGATTGAGTGGTGCTACACAAATCTCAACTCTATGAAATCAGAGAGTTCTTCAAAGCTTGAAAACAGAGGTTACCAACCTTCTCTTTTCTAGAGAAAAGGACTAGGGGTGACATGATAGCTGTGTTCCAATATTTGAGGGGATGCCATAAAGAAGAGGGGGTCAACCTATTTTCCAAAGGCAAGACAAGAAACAATGAATGATTAGTTTCATTCCAATGGATGGAGACTAACCAAGGAGAGAAGCAACCTAGAACTAAGGAGAAATTTCCTGACAGTGAGAACAATTAACTAGTGGAACGACATGCCTTCACAAGTTGTGGGTGCTTGTGTATCCAAGAGACTGGATAGCCACTTGTCTGAAATAATATACCTGAGCTTGAGCAGGGGTTGGATCAGAAGACTTCCAATATCCATTCCAATTTTATTATTCTGCAGTCTGTATTCTCCGGATTGGAGACCACAATATTAGCCTTTCTTCAGGGACTACAGAGCTGCAGAAGATCTTCTGCTAACAAAAGGATGTCTCCAGAAAGGGCAGAAGTGGAGACCTTCAGACCATTTTTCAACGATTTTAAGCCTTTTTGAAGAATGTGTTTACTTCACAAAATCCCTTGTGTTCCTATTTCCGTTCTTAATTAACCATCTTTTAACTAACCTGAACAATTGTACAGCCCCCAATTTTTACTGTCAAATCCCCCAATTTTTATTGTCAAGTCTTGAGAGCTGGATGATATATGCACTCATGCAGGTGTCTAAAACTGGACATCTTATTTATTTTCCTGCAGAATTTGGGGGCAAGATCTTGGTGTCAACCCTGAAGGCATTTTGGAGTATCTTCAGGGCTGCCGCAACAAGGCTGGTTGGAGCTGTGAGAACAGGAGAGGGGAATATAGATAGCTGGGGGACTTGTAGCCAAAATAAAATTCTTTCTCCTGGGAACCAAGGACGTTCCCACCAGGTGCTGGGGAGGCATGGACCGAAGCCAACTGGAATTGGGTCTGTGACCTGATTGGACCATGTGATGGATGTGTGAACTGGGGAAAAGAACTTTGACTTTTAATTTGGGTGGGAAAAACTGCGGGATGTTCAGAGTCAGGTTTTCATCAGATGTGCCAATATGACATGCCTAATAAATCTGTACTTTGAGGAACACCTAGGCCTCAGAGTTTTGATTGTGTTGGGTCTGTTACTTGGAAACCTGACACTTGGATTGTTTAGGGTCTGCCCTCAGGGCCATAAGTTGCTCACTCTCTGGTTTATCTAGCATCCATGGTCTTTGTAGTAGTGCTACTAAGCCTGCTGAGAGATTCTTTACTTCTCTCAACACATTGCAGGTAGTCCTTGACGTACGACCACGACTGAGCCCAAATTTTCTGTTGTTAAGCAAGACAATTGCTAGGAGAGTTTTGTCCCGTTTTTACAACTTGTCTTGCCACAGTTGTTAAGTGAATTATTACAAGTGTTAAGTTTGTAACACCGTTGTTAAGAGAATCTGGTCTTCCGGGTGCGATTCAAGGTGTTGGTCACCACCTTTAAAGCGCTCCATGGCACAGGACCCGGGTACCTTCGAGACCGACTTCTGCCACCAATAGCCTCCCACCGGCCAGTTCGCTCCCACAGAGAGGGTCTCCTTAGGGTGCCATTGGCCAAGTTATGTCGGCTGGCAACACCCAGGGGGAGGGCCTTCTCTGTGGGAGCCCCAGCCCTGTGGAACAAACTGCCCCCGGAAATACGTAAGATCTCCGACCTCCAGGTGTTTCGTTGTGCACTCAAGACCCTGTTGTTCTGCCAGGCTGGTCTATCAACATAACAATTTTAAATTGGGTTTTAAATTTCTGGGGTTTTAAATCGAGCCGAATTTATTTAATAATTTTAAACTATTTTAACTGATGTTGTCTTGTGTTTTTAATAGGCTGTACACCGTCCTGAGACCTTTGGGAGAAGGGCGGTATAGAAATAAAATTATTCTTATTCTTATTCTTCTTATTCTGGGTGGTCGGAAGGTCTCAAATGGTCATCACGATTCTGGGACACTGCATCCGTCATAAATATGAGCCAAGTTGCCAAGAGTCTGAATTTTGATCACATGACCATGGGGATGCTACAAAGGTCCAAAGTGTGAAAAATGATCATAAGTCACTTTTTTCAGACCGATGATTGTTATTGTTGTATTTGACCCACAAGTTGTTTTATGTGAGGATAGCTACCGGACATAATGAGGCGTATTTCTAGCTAAGCATACTAATGATCAAACTGCATTTTTCTGTAATTTCTATTCAATTAACTCTGCAGACTACATATGCAATATTAGGCTTCTGCTGCTAAATTGAAGCTTGCTTGATGAAGGGCGAATTTGTATGACTTCAGGAACTTCTACTGACCTTTCTCGCTCATCTATTTTTGGATTAACAGGTGCAACAACTATTATAAAGTATAAAGGTAAAGGTTCCCCTCGCACATATGTGCTAGTCGTTCCCAACTCTAAGGGGTGGTGCTCATCTCTGTTTCAAAGCCGAAGAGCCAACGCTGTCTGAAGACGTCTCCGTGATCATGTGGCCGGCATGACTAAATGCCAAAGGTGCATGGAACGCTGTTACCTTTCCACCAAAGATGGTCCCTATTTTTCTACTTGCATTTTTTATGTGCTTTCGAACTGCTAGGTTGGCAGAAGCTGGGACAAGTAATAGGAGCTGTTTGTGCATCTTATAGAGCTAATGTTGCTGAAGCCCCGCCCACCTGCTGGCCCCCACCTGCCGGCCCTGCCTCCCAGCAATTTACCTCCTTGCAGCAAACAGCAAACAGCGTGGTCAGTTTAGTACAGCCTGATTTAGTACAAGCAGCTGATTGGCGATTGGATCGGCCTCGCGGAATACCTCCTATTAGCTGTTCCAGGCTGCGGGGATCGCTGCTGCCCATCAGCATCGTCGCCACCCATCACACTGTCACCTATCGCCGCCTTTGCAAGCCCCATTTTCAGCCTCTGTGCATCCCGTTTTTGGCCTCTGCGTGCCCCATTTTTGGCCTCCGTGTGTCCCATTTTTGGCCCATTCCAGGTGGCAGGGCTAGGTAGTGGCGATCCTCACCTCCTGGAACGGCCCAAAAATGGGATGTATGGAGGCCGAAAATGGGGCGCGCGGAGGCAGCGATAAGTGACAACGGCGATGGGTGGCAGCTATCTCCGCAGCCTGGAACAGCTGATAGGAGGTATTCCGGGAGGCAGATCCAACCGCCAATCAGCTGCTCGTGCTAAATCCAGCAGTGCTGAAACTGACCATGCTGTTTGCTGCAAGGAGGTAAATTGCTGGGAGGCCGATTTTTTTTCTTGTTTTCCTCTCCAAAAGCAAGGTGCGTCTTATACTTTGGAGTGTCTTATAGTCCGAAAAATACGGTAAATAAATAAAATTAAGAGCTGCCTGCTTGATTTGAACAGCCCTTGTATCATTCTGAGCCAAGATACAGTGCAAACATTGTTTTCCTCTCACCAACTACCAACGTTCTTTATGAGTTTTTATAGATGTGTTTGCATGAAAAAGATAGCGCTACCTGGCAAGGTTTATAGAAACGGAAAGGGAGAAGATGCATCAGGCTGAGTGTTTACTGAAGTGTGCAAAATGGTGCATGGTGGAGAGAGAGCAGAGCAGAGGAACGTTTAATGACGAAAAACAGAGAAGCTGGAAAAGAAACATTTTCCAGAGCAGGAAATGGATACAATAGCAAAATTAAATTGCTCTCACTTTTATGTATCTGACTTATGAAATGGATCACATTTTCACCTCTGAGGAAATAACGCATCGATTGGTTTGCAAACACACTGTCTTTCCTTTTCAATAGTAAAAGGATCAAGGAGACAAATTAAAGAGAAATATTAAATGGAGTTGCAAGAACGACAGAGGGAATTTGGGACTTTCCCGGAGGGGTTTGTGAAAAAAAGAAAAGAAAAGCAGGGAGTCATGGACATTTCTGTAACCAAGAATGCGATGTAATGTGGACTTGGTGTATGTTATTGTGGCTTAGTGTTCATGGTGCATTATTATTATTATTGTTGTTGTTTCTATATTTAAAGTATGATGATTTACCATAGGGAACAGAGAAGGTTGATTCTACTAAAACTTTTCATTCAAATGTCCACATATTCTACCTTATATTTTTATCAGAGCCCTATTCCTTCCTTTCCTGGCAACATCTAACTTCTCTCTTTGTGAATATCTCTCCATTCATGTCCATCCATGTGCAGAATGATACAGGTAGTCCTTGACTTCCAACCATTCATTTAATGACGGTGACGAGTTATGGCAGAACTGAAAAGAATGACTTATGACCTGTCTGTGAAGTCACACCATCCCCACAAAATGCGTGAGTGTGATTTGAGCTCTTGGCAATGAACTCTCATTTACGATGGTGGCAACATTTTGTGGTCAAAGAATTGGGATTTGTGACTTCTCCGCTGGCTTCCGACAAGCAAAATCAATGGGATTCGCCTAACAATCACGTGATTTATTTAAGTATTAAGCAGTAATACTGGTTGTAAAATCGGGCATGGTCACATGATGACTCACTTACTGACCACATCATTTAGGAACCAAAATTCTGATCTCAACTGTGATTGTAACTTGAGGACTACTTGTAGTTCTGAACTTTGGAAGATATGGGAGAGAAGCTCATGTTGTAGTCCTGCTCTAAGGTTGACTTACTTGTAAATTGAACCATAACATCAAGACATTCTTCTGGATGACTGTGATTCAGGAAATTCAATAGCAATAGCATTTAGGCTTATATAAGCGCTGTCTGGGCAGTTTACAAGATAGAATGCACAATGTAGAAGCATTATTTGCCTATTGCCCCCAACAATCTGGGTCCTCATTTTCATGATGTCACAAGGATGGAAGTCAATCTTGAGCCCCATCAGGATTGAACTCCAGGTGGTGGGCAGACTTTGTCTACAATACTGCTTTTTAACCACTGCATCACCAGGGCTTCTTATCACTAGTCCACAATTATCATTTCCATAAATGAAATGTGCATTGCGGGAAAAATAACTCTCTTTGGTCTGCCTTGAATAAGTGTGTGTTGCAACCAGGGGTGAAATCCAGCAGGTTCTGGAGAACCAGTAGCGAAAATTTTGAGCAGTTTGGAGAACCGGTAGCGGAAATTTTGAGTAGTTCAGAGAATCGGCAAATACCACCTCTGGATGGCCCCAGAGTGGGATGGGAATGGAGACTTTGCAATATCCTTCCCCCAGGAGTGGGGAGGGAATGGAGATTTTGCAGTATCCTTTCCCTGCCATGCCCACCAAGCCACGCCCACCAAGCCACGCCCACAGAACCGGTAATAAAAATAATTGGATTTCACCACTGGTTGCAACCAATGATACCACAAAAGATTCTTAAATATTGGATGATCAGAAACTGGCTAGAAGATGTTATTCTGGGGGTGACCCAGGAGCACATCCATCCATCTCAGCCATGGACCTTCACTGGTGGACTTTGAACCAATCGCTCACTCTGAATCTAATATACCTCATCAGATTTTGATGGAGAAATTGTATTCTACCTTGAGAAGGAAAAACAGAATATAAGAGCCATGGTGGTGCAGTGGTTAGAATGCAGTTTTGCAGGCAAACTCTGCCCACTGTCAGGAGTTCGATCCTGACTGGCTCAAGGTTGACTCAGCCTTCCACTCTTCCCTAGGTCGGAGGTGGGATTAATTTATCTTCCCTACCGGTTCACAAATGTGAGCGCGCATGTATGTGCACGCAAGCTTCGCTTGCACGCGCCTCCTCTGCGCCTGCACATGGCCTTCTGTGCATGCACAGTGCTCGGGCATTATGTCCGGGTGGGTGGGGGGAGCCTAACACAGTTGCTAACTACTGGTTTGCCCGAACCGGACAGAATCGGCTGAATCCCACCTCTGGTGCTATTGCTATAAATCTAACAAATAAATACCGTATTGTTTGGAGTATAAGACGCACCTACCTTTTTTGGTGAGGAAAAGAAGAAAAAGAAATCTCCCTCTGCCCCTGCCTCTGAGCAATTTTGCCTCGTTGCAGCAAACAGCAAACAGCCTGTTTTACTTTCAGTTTTGTTTTCAGCATAGCTTGATTAGCACAAGGAAAAAAAAATCTGCTCCAGCAATTTACCTCTTTGCAGCAAGCAGCAGAGAGCAAATCAGCTGAGTCGGGAGGCCAACTCAGCTGCGCAAAACAGCTGAGAGCAAATCAGCTGAGTCGGGAGGCCAATCCAATCAACTTGTGCTAAATAGCCTGTGCTGAAGCTGAAAGGAGCTGTTTTTTCTTGCTGTTTGCTTGCAAGGAGGTAATTGCTGCGAGGCAGAGGCCAAAGGGTGGGGGCCAGTGAGTGGGCGGGGTTATATTCGGTGTATAAGACGCACCTAAATTTTCACTCCCTTTTAGGGGGGAAAAAGGTGCGTCTTATACTCCAAAAAATATGGTACATTCTTTTCCATGCATTTATTTGAGGCTACCTGATAGCAGACCTTTTTAATGGTAGTCTCTTATGGCTGAAATGCTCTTCCTAGTGAGGTACCCCCGGATGTCCATTTTATTGTCTTTTGGGCACCAAAAAAACCCATCCTTTTCTCTTCCCACACATTCTAAGCATTGTAATCAACGTGTTGATTTTTAATATCTGCTAGCTCAGGAGCCTTTTCCACCTTTCTTTCCGGCTGTTGCTATTATGGTCCTACTCACTGATTTAATGTTATACGATTGAACGTTTGTGCTGTTGTATATTTTAATTGTTTTTAGAATTTACAGCCTCTTGTAAAGCTGCCGTGGGATCGATTGGGTTTTGAAGGCGGCCCAAACATTTAAAAAAAAACAAAAACACATTTTTAAAAAATGCACAACGGAACAAGGCAGGAACAGATAAAATAATCTGTGGGTTTTTTTTATATATATATACTTCGCTGCAGGTTTGACATCCGTCTGATGAACGAAACATGGGAATTGGCTGCAATGTGCACCTGTTTAAATATAATGAACATATTCCCCACGATGGAGGATTTTGTGCCTTAGAGCACTGCACTAATCAGGTTTATTGTATGTACAGGCTACAGAATAGCAACTACATTTTCTCATTCGGCCCGTTGCGGAAACGCTACCAGTCCTGCATCCGATGGCTACCTTCGCCGCTGGTTCGTTGCTTCACAGAAGCAGCTGGCCTGTCTCTTGGGTGGCCGCTACGTATTTATTGCTTTTATACTTTCAATTTGCGGGCTGTTAAATGTCGGTTACATCGGTTCTTTATGCTTGATTTGCCTTGGGCAATCTGTCGGAAGGGCAGGCTATGATGTTTTGCGAATACAATAGCCAATAAAGAAAGCCAAGGATGGCGCTTGGGTGGCGGAAGCTAAGCAGATGAGATTGCTAATGCTGTCGATGGCTTGAATTCAAAGCATCTTCAGGGATGCCCAGACGTTGAATATGAGCAACAAAGATGGAGCAGGACTACTGGTAAATTATCTTACTAATGCTGCTTTATACGAATTCCCTTGCAAGTTCTTCAGGGCACTCCAGCCCTAGTTTAGTCCTGAGATTTTCCATTCCAAATACTAAGCAGATCTTCTTAGCTTGTTTGAAAACAGCCAAGATTAGTTAGAGGCCACACCATCTGGTTTGACCATCCTGCCAACTAAGACACTAGATTATAATAAATGTACACATTAACCTGTCTCTGAAATGAAACAATGCTTATATGCTTGGCAGGTGTGGTTTCTCTCAAAAACCACTCTTCAGCAGTTCCCTTCTTGGAACGTGTTCCAAGACATCTCTCCATCCATTGATCCATCCACCCAACCATCGATCCTTCCATCCTTGTCTGTATTCTGTGCATGTTAATTGCTGTCTCTAGCTCTCGGTGACCAATTAACCCTACAGCAGCAGTCTACAGAAATCTGCGGGAACGTACCTCATTAATAAAGTCCCCGATGTCTCCAGGGTGGGGGATGACCGGCCGTATAGGATATTGAGGCTCAGCACCGACAGGTCTCTCATCTACTCTTCTGACTCCGTTCGCCTTGTTTAAAACATGATCCATGTTCTCTGGCTGCTGAAGTTGGCTTAAATCATAATCCTATCACGCATACAGAAGGAAAAGAGTGAAGCTGCGGCAGATTTTCACTGAAGATTATCCAGTATCTTTGTGCCACTGGGGGGAGGCTGAATAACACGATTATGTTTAAGGGAAATCAAAGCAGAGCCTTTAACCCTATGGCATTTATATTGCTACTTAATTAAACGTATATGATATGCGATTGATCTTTGGCTGGACGGCGCTGAAGAGATTTTACAAGGCACAAAGATGCAAAAACGCACTCTTGGACTAATCGCTTCTTCGGTTCACATTCTGGAGGCATCTCAATGTGGGTTTGGAGTATTACTGATGCTCTGAATGATCTTTCCACAATCTAATTTGTAATTGATTTGGAAGAGAGAGAGAGAGAGAGAGAGACCGATTTAAACAAAGCGAATCCAAACTTCAAACGAATTATGGATTGGCATGTCAGGTGATGGTTGATCACCACAGAAACAAAGAAACCAAGGTGTGATCAATGACGTTATATTTGTTTCCCCAAAGTCCATATTACTCCCGGGGATCTTTTTCAACATAGAGATCTTTGTGTGCTATATAAACTTTCTAGGTTATATTGAACTTTAATATTAGTGTTTCTCCTTAGTGTGCTTCCAGAAGTTGTGAATTCTCCAACACTGGAAATTTTTAAGAAGAGATTGGACAACCATTTCTCTGAAATGGTCTAGGGCCGTGATGGCGAACATATGGCACAAGTGCCAGAGGTGGCACGCAGTGCCCTCTCTGATGGCACGTGAGCCATCGCCCCAGTTCAGTTCCGCTGAGCATGTACGCATGCCTCCCGCTGGCCAGCTGATCTTTGGGTCTCTGCTGCCCATGCGCGAGGGGCAGGGCACGTGCGGGGGGCCATGCGTGCATGCACGGGGGGGCATATGCAGGGGCCCACGTGTGCATGCGCAGGGTGGGGCGCATGCATGGGGGCCACGTGTGCATTGCATTTTGGGGGGTTGAGCACACGTGCATTTGCACACACACGCTTGGGCACTTGGTCTGGAAAAGATTAGCCATTACTGGTCTAGGGTTTACTGGTTGAGCAGGTGGTTGGATTAGAAGACCTCCAAGGTCCCTTTTCTATTCTATTCTATTCTATTCTATTCTATTCTATTCTATTCTATTCTATTCTATTCTATTCTATTCTATTCTATTCTATTCTATTCCTGGTGACAGATGAATATGGAATGGTGTGTTTATAGCACTCACTTTTCAGATATATTTGAGCTGCAACTCCTTAAAATTCTTATCAATTTCTCAACAATTTAATAGAAATTTGAGAGTTGTGCTGTATCCACTTCAAGTCTCGTAACTGTGGTTCAGATATACCATCTCAAATCTTTTGCATTATTTTGAACTGTAACTGATTTCTCACAAAGTTGGAGTAACCCTTACCTGATCTTCTTCTCCACCACCTTCTTCATCATATTTAAGGATGTTGTCCCGGACGTCATCTTCAGGATCAATGAGTAGCTGCTTAGTGTGACGTTCCTTCTCCCTCCGTTTCATCCATACCACAAAAAGCAGAACCATAGCTAGAAGAAAATCAATTGAAATATAACAACCGTGGCTGAATGTCACAATCTCCTATTCCTTAAGGACAATCAACCCTAGCCAAGGGAGATACAGTCAATATTACCCCATCTTTTCTTCATGAGTGGGGGTTTATACGTTGTGTTGTTCCCAGATCTGCAAAACTGACCACAAATAGGAGAAATAAATGGAAGCTAACCATCAGATTGCAAGAACACAAGTGAGCAGTCAGATGAGGAGACCCGAACACATTGGTAGCCTCACATTGCAATGAACAAGGACATGCATTCAATTTCACAGCTACTCTGATTGTTGGCTGAGTAGGGACAAACATAGCCAGAGAAATGATTGAATCCTGGGAAACAGACCCCTTGTCAGTCAATAAGAGTGTTGATTTACCACCAGGTTTCTTAGTACTTATGAGCTGAGGCACAATGAAACAACAACTAACAATTTAATAGCCAGCCACCAACACAGGTTTTAGTTAATTTAGTTAATTAACTAAAACCTGCACACAACCAGGAACCATATAAATACAATGTGTAGAACAGCCTAGCGCATATATTCTGGAGAGAAACAGAAGTTCCCTGATGATGAGCTCCAACACGAGTCCAAAAGCTTGGAAGAATAAACTTTTGGTCCCAGTGACCAACTCAGATTGGATCCTGCAACATTATCCTGGGACATGGATATTTTACCTTCTTTCGCAGGAGAAATAAATGCTACCTGTTTTGTTGCTAGTGTTAATTTCAGACTGGAGCGAGGCCTTGAGAACATTGAGAAATCACTCCAGCCTTTGAATCTTTTCATACTGCCAAGGTACAACTCAGAGGTGGTATTCAGCCGGTTCGGACCGGTTTGCCCGAACCAGTAGGGGAAATTGCTGGTGGGCCCACTGACCTGCCTCGGCTCTCTGCCATCCTATTTATGTTTTTTGAGGCTGGGCACATGCACGGAAAGTGTGCACTCACATTTGCGAACCAGTAGGGAAAATAAATGAATATCACCCCGGTACAACTAAATGCAATGAGAATGAGATAAAATGCAATTTGAAATTGGAATGAGCACTTAGTGATTATTCGAAGTTCTGATGGACCTACCAGGTAGGTACTTAAGACTCAGATTTGAGGTTCTAATGGTTGGGTCACCCTCACAGTCATGCGTTTGCCTTTTGGGCACATGGGAGCCAAGCCAGTCATTTATGGCTGTTTGCAGCGCCCTATGTCTTGTGCCTGTGTTTTATGACTGTTTTTCTGGGAAAAAACCCAACGTTTTCTTCCATTTTTGACAAAACCACACCTTTAGCAAACCACTGGTTCACTTAATGATTGTGACATTCACTTCATAACTTGGATTTCACTTAAGAACTATGATGATTCATTTAACAACTGCCGGAAAAAAAGGTTGTAAAATTGGATCAGTTTTACGATCAACATGAGTTACAACCCTGATGCGCAGGTTTCATTAGATGAGATGAGATGAGATGAGATGAGATTAGAATTCTTTATTGGCCAAGTGTGATTGGACACACAAGGAATTTGTCTTTGATCCATATGCTCTCAGTGTACATAAAAGATACATTTGTCAAGAATCATAAGGTACAACACTTAATGATAGTCATAGGGTACAAATAAGCAATCAAATCATATTAGGAAACAGTCAATATAAATCGTAAGGATACCAGCAACAAAGTTACAGTCATACAGTCATAAGTGGTAGGAGATGGGTGGTAGGAATGATGAGAAAGTGAGAAGATTAATAATAATGCAGACTTAGTGAATAGTTTGACAGTGTTGAGGGAATTATTTGTTTAGCAGAGTGATGGCGTTTGGGAAAAAACTGTCCTTGTGTCTAGTTGTTCTGGTGTGCAGTGCTCTATAACATCGTTTTGAGGGTAGGAGTTGAAACAGTTTATGTGAGGGGTCTGTAAATATTTTCACAGCCCTCTTTTTGATTCGTGCAGTATACAGGTCCTCAATGGAAGGCAGGTTGGTAGCAATTGTTTTTTTCTGCAGTTCTAATTATCCTCTGAAGTCTGTGTCTGTCTTGTGGGTTGCAGACAGACTACGATCTACAAGATTACGATCCTAACTCAAGGATTACCTGCACTTTTTTTTTTTAATCAGAGAAGAATCTATGTCAGTAAATAAGGAAAAAAACCTAGATTGTTAGACCAGGGGTCTCCAAACTTGACAACTTTAAGACTTGTGGATTTCAACTCCCAGAATTCCCGAAGCCTGGGGAATTCTGGGAGTTGAAGTCCACATGTCTTAAAGTTGCCAAGTTTGGAAGTCCCTGTGTTGGATGGTTCTGTATGCTCTGAGTAAGCCTAGCAATAATCTACTTCTTCGTAAGCAGAAAGTGGACTGGTATGGTAGCAGGTAGCACTGTTTTTTGATACTGTTGCGGTCCGCCAGCAGCCTGCAGAGCTGGCAGCAGAGTTGGACAGCAATGAGGCTGAGGAAGAACATGGGCGAGTCCTGGAGGCTGGGGAAGGCCTGGATGAGGGCTCTGCATCAGAGGCAGAGATGGGGCCAGGGCCATCGGGGAGTGATGTGCGGACTTCGGAGCCTCCAGAGGCTGATAGTAGAGAGGCAGAGGAACAGGAGAAGCCTGTTCCTAGTGCACATATGAGAAGAGCTGCCAGAAGGCAGATGCAGCTAAAGCAGAGAGGATGACTCGGGAGTAGGGCCAAGAGATGATTGGCCCCTCCCATAAGGCTTAAAAGACCAGCAACGGCTCTTGGCCTCTTTGCCGAAAACAACCATTGAGAGATTTGCTTCGTGTTTGGATGTATTTCTTTCTTGTCAGTGTTTTCTGTTCCTGAACTGTTGCCAAGAAAAGCCGTTGGCAGTTTGCCTAATTATCCCAAGGTCAGAGATAAACTGAAGAATGGTATTTTGAGGACTTTGCTTTCATTTAATTTGGAATACACTGAGAATGAGTTAATTCTCAGCTATTTTAATAAAATCTGTTTGTTTTTTGGAACTGTTTTGCATTTAATATTAACTACGTGGGCCTGGGTCACAACAGATACTGAGAATGCCAAAGGTACCTATGCTAGCTTACATTCTAGCCAAGTACCCTAAAAAGATAAAAAAAAAGATTTTCTCAAGCTGAAATCAACTCAGTACACAGATCGTAGGCCTTTCTTAGCAACAGTTGAGAAGTGCTAGATGGTAGGTTTACACAGCTGCTCTTTGTCGATGAAATGACTTTCACTGACAGTTTTTACAATGCCATCAATTCTGAATGTACTATAGCAATGAATATGAGGTGATGAAAAGTCTACACACACATATATAGCCTCACAGGCATTATCAGGAAGTCAATGCATCCGCCTGGAAGTGGTTTTGCCATCGTTTTTTTCCCAGAGATTTTTTTTAAAAAAATGTCCCAATCTAGGCTCTACATTTGGGGTGTCCTGGATTGGTCCTCTCTTACCCAAAAACTAACCAGATCTCCCTGTAGGATTTTGTAAAGATTCCTTTTGAGCTGTCTGCTGGGAATGGCCCCTTGCTTTATCCTAATAAACACAACACTAGACGCTGAGCTTGTCGATTGAAAGGTCGGCAGTTCAGCGGTTCGAGTCCCTAGTGCCGTGTAACGGGGTGAGCTCCCATTACTTGTCCCAGCTTCTGCCAACCTAGCAGTTCGAAAGCACGTAAAAAATGCAAGTAGAAAAATAGGGACCACCTTTGGTGGGAAGGTAACAGCGTTCAGTGTGCCTTTGGCGTTGAGTCATGCCGGCCACATGACCATGGAGACATCTTCAGGCAGCGCTGGCTCTTCGGCTTTGAAATGGAGATGAGACCCGCCCCCTAGGGAATGACTAGCACATATGTGCGAGGGGAACCTTTACTAAATGTACTAAATGGAATAAATACTACGCAATTGGTAAAACTGTATTATTACATGACATACAAAGACAATTGATTATTTTCTGAGGTTCAAAAACATAATGAGTGGAGTTGTGATTACATTAATTGTTTACTTTTATTTAGCACGGGCTTTCTTCATGCACTAGAATGCCTGTCTGCAAATGATCTGGTCGGAACTAGGCTAGAAACTAGGAGACTGTGAATTCTAGTCCCGCTTTAGGCATGAAAGCTGGCTGGGTGACATGGTGGCTAATCATCAGGAGACGATGAGTTCTAGTCTCATCTTAGTCATGAAAGCCAGCTGAGTGATTTTGGGCCAATCACTAGGAGATAATGAGTTCTAGTCCCACCTTAAAGCCAATTGGGTGACTTTGGGCCAAACATCAGGGGACTGTGGGTTCTAATCCTGCCTTACGCATGAAAACCTGTTTGGTGACTTTGGGCGAGTCACTATCAGCCTAACACCTGATGGGGTGGTTGTTTTGAGGAAAATAGGAGTATTAGATATATTCGCTGCCTTGCATAATTTATAAAAATAATAAAGGCAGAATAATTCATCTTAAATAAATACATTAAAATAATGCCTGACAAAGTGGCATCCAGATTCAGCACTTTGATAGATCAGTATGACAAAAACTGGACAACCCTAAAACTTTTTCATCCGATCTATATCCTTTCTTCCTTGCCTCCTTCCCTGTGCAATAATGAAGCTTGAATCAAGACTTCCATTAACCCCAAAGGAGGACTTATTTTCCACCCCAGCCTAATTACCCTGAGAAGAAGTCCACTTTGGTGATGACAAAGTGCCCCTTATGATCTGGAACATTCCAAATTTTGCAGTGATAATCTCCTGATTAATTCTAATGCGTTGTGATATTGCTGTTGTGGCTCCGTTACCTGAGCCTGTGTCATTGTCAGGAGAGGACTCTGAGAGTGAAGGAGAGGAGTTGGCAAGGCCTCCCTCTCCAGGACCCTCCTCTCTGGCAATGCCTTCGGTGTCCGCCGAAGAGCAAGAGATAGGGCTGGGGCCAAGTACGTCCACACAGCCACAGATGGACAGTGATGAGGGTAATAAGTCTTGGCTGGACCCACGCCAGCGTCGCAGAGATAAACGCGCGCAA